GAAGGCGTCCTGGATCGCGGAGAATCCTCGGGGCTCCGGAGGAGTTCTCGCCTACATCGTCCATATAGGACGACTCGGGAACTCAACTCCTACCCCGGGCAGCTCACCTATCCCCTTATGCCCAGGGGAAAGGTATCAAGCCGTTTGACAGCTGATGCTGGCTGTCAAACCGGCTTTTACGCAAAACAGGCGGGACGCAGCAAACAGCTGCGACCGACGAAATCGCCTGCCACCGGAAGTCGCTCGCCTCTTTGGAGAGATTATTTACACTCAAGCTAATTTCTTCATTCACAAATAAGCATGTTTTGAGCACTTTTAACTGCAGTGTAATGCTATCAATTGAATGAATGAGTGAGTGAGTGAGTGAGTGAGTGAGTGAGTGAGTGAGTGAATGAATTAATTGTATGTTTGATAAATAGCTATGCCTATTACAGTTAGTCTTTAAGAGAAATACTTCATAAAAGTTAGCAAGATGATATTCTGACTATTGTATTTTTGTGTGCTAGAAATATATGGCAGAGTTTTGTGTACAACTAAGGACAGTTGTAAGAATTAGCTTTGCCCAGAATAGCCCCTTTCCTTTTTCATTATTGTGAATTTGGTTTGTATATTCACTTCCATGAAGAACTCTAAACAGGGAAAATCCTAAATTGAATTGAATTGAATATTAAAATGGCCATTGTTCCTGCAGAAATCATTGCAGGTCTTTTAAAAGCTCTTGGACTTTGAACTGTTTTGGACAGCCTTTCCCATACTTGATTTCATATTTCCATTTTATTTTATCCTGTCTTCTTTGCATTGTTGCATTACTTGTGTTTTTACTATTTATATTGTGAATTGTTTATATGTATATTTTCTACATAAGTCTCCAAGAGTAGTTTTTTTATTGTGGTGGCATAGAAATACATTTAATCCATAGATAAAAAAATATGTATTTATATATTTTCTACAGAAGCTGTACTTGATGTACACTGTACTTTCTTCCATAGTCATCTTTTCTTTTTTTTGTACTGAACTTGTGTACCCATCTCTAAAATAATGTCATGTACTTAATGAAAGTTTATTTGACTATATCTTTGTGAGACTAAATTATGCTAGAAGACATTTTGATATTTGGGCTATACTGTTCTAACATGACTGTGGAAACATTTCCAGGTCATTTAATCAGACTGCAAATTTTTCATGCATATTATAGTAGGTTCTTAGGTTAAAATTCTCTAGTTTCTCATCATCCTTCTTTAAAAAATGTGGGATAAGAGAATTTTAACAAAAAAGAAGGTATAATGTTATTTAGAAGAATTTCAATTTATACCTCTAGCTTATCAAATGAATTCTAGAAGTTCTAAAAAGTCAGGTATGCTCTGTTCCTTACCTGTGAGATCTTATAGATATCCAAGAGACTTGCAATATGAAAGGAAATTTTGGCATCTAATCCCTCCATCACTGAAATCAAATGATTCTGGATACCACAGATTTTTCATACTGTAGTAGTTTCTTTCCTTATGTTAAAATTCTCTAACTTATCATCATCCTTCTTTTTTAAAAAAAGTGGGGTAAGAGGATTTTAAAAGAGAAGAAGGTGCAATAATATTTAGAAGAATCCCAATTTTTGCCTCTTTGAAATTTGGAAGTTCTAAACAGTCAGGAATGCTTTCAATTTGATGTACTTTACCTGTGGGATCTTATAGATATCCAAGAGATTTGCAATGTCAATGGAGGTTTTGGCATCTAGTCCCCCAATTATTGAAGTCAGATGATTCTGGACACCACAGATGTAATTGGGAAAAAAGCTCTTCATATTGTAAATCAGTAACATTGTGGCATGGTATGTTTTCTGTGCATTGAAGTAACTGTCATAGATGTTGAAACCAAGAATGACATTGGATAAGATCTCTGAATTTTATTTATCTCCTTGACTGCAAATGCCAGGGCCACAATATTTTGGTAATATTTAGGAACTAACCTGAAATAGAAGATAAATTCAATGTCATACAAATATTTAAAAGTTGTTTTAAAGAAAATTGTAGTAATTATTTCATCTCATAATTCTCAGAATATTTATTTTTATAAGCATTTATATGAAACCAATGCAGTGAAGGTTTCATAAAGCAGTTATTTCATACAATATAATTTACAGAAGAGCTAGCAAACAGTATTTTGTATATGTCTACTTATTTACATAAAACATTAGCTTTACTGCAAATAACTATATCACCCATGCATTTATATTTTTCCTTTATTTTTGGAAATCATTCTGCGGTTCTGTGATATGGAAAAATATATTTACAATGTATTTAATAATAGTTATTCACATCATTAAAAGTATGAACAAATGCCACATTTTACTGCAATTATCTCAATGGTATATAAATCAAAAGGAAGAAAACTAAAAGGAAGAATTCTCAGAGAGGATGCAGATTAAACTTTGCCAGAGCTATCGATATAGAGCAGTAAAAATTTCACTGAAGTTTTCACCTTAATATTCTGGTCCAGACTTATTGGATAACATTGGATAACTGGCTGGAGAAAATAGTAAAATTTATACAAATCTCCAACAGATAGGCTAATTGAATTATGATCTGTAGCAGTTTATTCAGTTAGAAGACATGGAAATAAGCATAAAAGTCTTACACATGATCTTCAAGCAATGGTGGCGGTGGGACTTTGCTGAACTCTAGGGCACCATGCATGAAAGCAGCTAAAGTGACAATGCCATCCATGATGACATCACCTGACTGATAGTACATGTGATATGGATCATGAGGATTTTGAACTCTACATTTGATATTATCTGACTTAGAAAGTGGGAGATAAAATAATGCTAGTGAGAACGTGATTAAAGCTAACATTTTTGGAGAAAAGCCAAATCTTTCCTTGACATCTAAATTCTTCTTGCTTCTTTGATGACAACGATATTAGTATTCTGGTAACAAAACATATTGATATTGCAAACCTTAAAAAAGAGTAAGAAGTCTTCACAAACTATGCTGTATAAATGTACATGGAAAACATGAAAAAGATTGAGATGTTTATAATATTCTTCATGCTTCATCCTTGGACAATGAAATTCTGTCACAACATAAGCAAATTAACTACCATTCTTTCAAAACTAAATAGGTATGCAATTACTTCATGGTTCCCAAGAGAATTGAGGGAAACAAGTTTTGACTGATAGAAAAAATGTTTCTATGTTATTTGAAAAGAAGACACTTAAAATGAGCAAGGTTTATTTTTTAAAAAATAAAACACCCAAGACAATCCTGCCTCAAGTCTATGCGGCTTTTCACTGTTTTGTTGAACATGCTGTGCTAGGATGATGTTGCTGTAAGACAGCTTTCCTGCATGATCATGAATGTGACTCTAAAATTTGGACAGTACCATAGCTGATAGACCAGATGAATGAACTATAGGTCTTAGGATCTCTGATTTTACACTGACCTAAAATCCTTGTTACTCAAAAACCATGAAAGTTCTCTGGTCATTGTTGAATGGAATGGTGTGCTACTTTCAATACTGTCCAACTTTCTCATTGCACAGGCGCTGTTTGATATTTATTAATCTGAACAATTTATTTCTGTCATGTATTCTTAGAGTTCTGGACATACTGTAATACCAATAAAGAACAGATTGATTTTTTTTAAAAAAGTGAGACATGAAATTATTGATAAAAGGTAGGACTATTTAATATTAAAGGTAAACTTACAGCATCTGAAAGACACAAGTGAGGAATTCTGGATAGTTGTAAATAAGGAAAAGAAACTGACCCCCTCCGAAGAGTTTTTTAATATTTTTAGAAACCATAATATCAGAATGGGCATTAAAGTATTTTTAATGGATGATGTATGTTTTCTGGCTTGAATCATTAGGTTTTGTGAGGTTAACAAAGATCTTGGTTACAAGATCAGGCTCTACTTTCAATTACTCTTCGTCTCTCACATGAGCTGGATGTTTCAGGATTGTAGATTGCTGGCAATAGCCAGTTCTTTTTTTGTAAAAAAAAAAAAAAGTGCCAGAAGGTTCCATCCAAAAAAGGTGCCGGAACTCCGTTCTGGGCATTCTATGACAAAAAAAGCCTTGCAATTAGCTAATTTAGAAGACAAAAACAGGCCAACATATCAACACAAATAACTATAAGACTGCTTTGCCGAGACATATACTTTTACACACACATATGATAGAGATAGAACAAATTAGATACAAAAGAGACAGAAAAATATAGCTCAAATCAAAGAAAAAAAATCAGTGTTTTCTTAAATTATTTCAACTATATTAATATATCTCAACTTTCATTGTTAGAAATTATGCTTTCAGACTTTCACAATGTAAAGTATATTTAGGAAAATTAGAATTTTAGCCTTATCATTCAATGTTTACTTTAACTATCACATCCCTTTGAGAAAGGAATTCCAGATTGCATCACCCACCTTTGCTCACCTTGTCAGCTGATATATTAACCCACTAAATTCTGACAAATTTTGGAATCCTGGTTTTTAAGATTCAGGTTTTTTTAATGCCGCAAAGTGAATATCATAAATATTGGGCTACAGATATGCATAAAAATCTGATATCAACAAAATACCAAATTAAACATTGTAAATAAATCTGGATAGGGGGATGGTAAATGTTTTTTATGCAATATTATTATTCCCATTAACTTAGTTTTGATAAAGCTTGTTATTATTTTCAGAATATCTAGATCCATAAACTACTGAGACTTCCCAAGCTTGTGAAGATTTTCACATTATGTTTGTTCAGGATCACTGCCTCCATGGCCCACTGCAGATCGCCCAGGCAGCTCTGCAGCACCATGGCAACCACACCCTCCGCTCATACCTCGCAGCATCATCTGCATGCTATGGGGCGCGAGAGCAGAGTCTTGTCCCTGCTGCCCAGCTATGTCCTTGGTTGTGCTGCTCCGTGCGGGCCACGCCCGGGGGTGACTCTCCTCCAGGGGAGGTTGTTGCTGAAGAGGGGGCCACAGGGGGAGGCGGGGCTGGGGCGATGGCATGAGTGCCCACAGAGAGGGCTCTGAGTGCCGCCTCTGGCACGCATACCATAGGTTCTCCACCACTGGCCTATGTGGTGGGTTGGGTTAAAAGAGAGTGACTGGTCCAAAGATACCAAACTAGCTTTCATGGCTAAAGTGGGACTTGAGCTCATGGTTTCCTGCTTTCTGACTAGCTGAAGTGGTTAGAATGCAGTACTGCAGTTACTTCTGCTGATTTCTGGCTGCCAGCAGTTCGACAGTTTGAATCTTACTGGCTCAAGGTTGACTCAGCCTTCCATCCTTCTGAGGTCGGTAAAATGAGGACCCAGATTGTTGGGGGCAATAGCCTGACTCTGTAAACCTCTTAGAGAGGGCTGTAAAGCACTGTGAAGCGGTATATAAGTTTAAGTGCTATTGCTATTTCTCGCCTAATGTCTTAACTACTAACCAAACTGGCTTGGTACAATTATATCAATTCAACAAAAACTATGTAATATTTATTTTTATATCATAAAGAATGTTGAATAAGAATTGGTTGCACTTTCCTACTGTAAGAAATGAAATATAGTGTGAGAAAGTCCTGGCCAATTATTCAATTGCTATATATGGCCTAAAAACTATTTGATTGCTAATATAAGTTGAGGATTATCATTGTTATTCAAGACAACATATGTTCCTTTAGCTATAATGCCAGAAATAAGAATTAATCAAAAACGTTAAAATTTGTAGATGCTCATAAGAATGAATAATTCTCAATAGAATAATAAATCTACACTTGTTAAAGAAAACAAATGGATTGCCAAACTACAGCACAGGACATTATGAATCAAAATCAGAATTGTTTTCTCTTCATTAAATTTTCCCTGCTGTTCAACTCAGGCCTTAAAACAATTATATAGCATTTGGGAAGAAAGACGCAGCCCAGCAAACCAGCACTAGAGGCCAAGATGGAAAATATCTCCACTGCTACCATGTACTTCCCCTTGGTGCTCAAGTAGGTTGGAACAAAGGATATCCAAACACTGCAGAAGACTAACATGCTGAAGGTGATGAACTTGGCTTCATTGAAAGTATCAGGCAATTTCCTGGCCATGAAGGCAACTATGAAACTAATAATAGCCAAGAAGCCCAAATAGCTTAAGACACTGTAGAACATAGTTACAGAGCCTTGATTGCATTGCAGAATAATTTCTTCAACTACCGAATCCATGTCAGTGTCTGGGAATGGAGAAGAAGTTGTTAGCCATGTCATGCAAATACCTATTTGAATAAAAGAACAGGAAATGACAATAGAGTTGGACAGTTTCTTTCCCACAAACATTCTCATCTTGGATCCTGGCTTGGTGGCCAGGAAAGCCAGAACCACTGTGACGGTTTTTGCCAACACTGAAGAAACAGCCACTGCAAAGACAATCCCAAAAGTTGTTTGTTGCAGGAGACATACCATCTTCTCAGGATGACCAATAAATAGGAATGCAGAAAGGAAGCAGAGCAGGAGGGAGATGAGGAGAATGTAAGTGAGGTCTCGGTTATTGGCAATGATGATAGGAGTGTTGTGGTTCTTCACAAATATTCCAAGCACCATCACTGAGATCAAAGAAAACAAAAGGACAAAGAAGACTAAACTGATTCCCAAATGTTCCTTGTAAGACAAAAATGTCAATGTTTTAGGAATACAGGAATCCTGATTCTTATTTGGATAGCTTCCTTCTGGACATAAGTAACAATCATTTGTATCTGAAAAATAAAATCATTTCAAGACCATCTGTAGAATATAAAGTATATCAATAATATTATTTACATGTTTTAAAAATATTTAGAATGTTTTTATTCCTAATTCATTAAACAAGTATTAATCTATAGATTTCAACAATGCTCTAACCCTTTAAACAATTTGTTTAATGTCTGTGATATTATATTTTAATTTCAAAACTTTGAATAAGTAAATTATCTTTAGAATTCTAATTCTTTATATAATTCTCCACATAATCTATGCATTTGAACTGATTTGTCTTTAGCAAGCCCTAATACTACAATATATCAATGCAATAATTTGACTCTGAAAAATAAAATTATTTCAAGACCACTTCTAGAATATAAAGTAATTGCTTTACTTTATAATAATATTCTTTACATACAGTGCATTCAGAAAGTATTCAGACCACCCCCTTCACTTTTGTCAATTTTGTTATGCTGCAGTCAGATTCTACAGTTGTTGAAATTCATTTTTTTCTCATTAATCTACACTCAAAGTAGACAAAACAGAATTTTAGAAATGTCTGTAAATTTCTTAGAAAGAAAAAAAATGAAATATCAAATTGGGATAAGCATTTAGACCTGTTGCAACACTTGAATGTTAGCTCAGGTGCCTCCCAGTTGTCTTGATTGTTGCTGACATGTTTCTATACCTTGATTGGTAAATTTACCTGTAATAGATTAAATTGATTGGACATGATTTGGAAAGGCACACAGCTCTCTGTAGAAGGCCTCACTGCTGACAATGCATGCTGTAGCAGAGCAAAAGCCATGAGGTCAAAAGAACTGCCTGTACAGCTCAGAGACAGGATTATTGCAAGGGATAGATCTGGGGAGGGCCAGAATAAAATTTCTGCTGCACTGAATGTTCCTAAGAGCACAGTGGGCTCCATAATTCTCAAATGGAAGAGGTTTGGCACAACCAGGACTCTTCCAAGAGCTAGTTGCCTGGTCAAACTGATTGGGGGAGAGAAGGGCCTTAGTAAGAGATGTGATCAAGAACCCAATGGTCATGCTGACTGAGCTCCACAGATTCTGTGTGAGGATAGGACAGAGTTCCAGAAGGACAACTATCACTGCAGCCCTCCATTTATCTGGGCTTTATGGCAGAGTGGCTAGATGGAAGCCTCTCCTCAGTGCAAAATACACGAAACCCTGCTTGGAGTTTGCAAAAAAGCATCTGAAGGACTCTCAGATTATGAGGAACAAGATTCTTTGATATGATGAAACCAAGATCAAACCATTTGGCCTCAATTCTAAACGTTATGTCTGGAAGAAACCAGGCACCACTCATCACCTGCCCAATATCATTCCAACAGTGAAGCATCATGGTGGCAGCATCATGCTGTGCAGGTGTTTTTCAGCAGCAGGGACTCGGAGACTGGTCACGGTGGAGGGAAAGCTGAATGGAGCAAAGTACAGGGATATCCTCAATGAATACCTGTTCCATAGCACTCAGGACCTCAGACTGGGCCCAAGGTTCACTTTCCAATATGACAACGATCCTAAGTACACAGCCAAGACAACACAGGAATAGCAACTCTGTGAATATCCTAGAGCGGCATAGCCAGAGCCCTGATTTGAACACTATTGAACAGCTTTGGAGGGACCTGAAAATGGCTGTCCATCAACAGTCACCATCCAACCTGACTGAGCTTGAGAAGATTTGCAAGGAAGAATAGCAGAAAATCCTGCAATCCAGGTGTGCAAATCTTGTCGCATCATACCCAAGAAGATTCAAGGCTGTAATTGCTGCTAAAGGTGCTTCAATGAAGTATTGAGTGAAGGGTCTGAATACTTATATCAGTGTGATATTTCAGGTTTTTAAAAAAATAAATTTATAGACATTTCTAAAATTCTGTTTTCACATTGTCATATTAATGAGGGGGGAAAAAGAATTTCAGCAACCAGGTTGCAACATAACAAAATTGACAAAAATGAAGGGGGTCTGAATACTTTCTGAATGCACTGTATTTTAAGAATAAGTCATTCTTATTTCCAGTTCATTAAACACTTGAATATTAATCTGAATATTTCAAGAATGCTCTAACTCTTTAAACAATCTGTTTAATGGTAGTGATGTTGCATTTTAATTTCAAAACTTTTGTATGTAAAAAAGTCTTTAGAATTCTAATACTTTATATAATTATATAATTTGCCATATAATCTCTGCATTTGGACTAGATAGGATAATAATGGTTACCTGATTTGTCTTCAGCAAGCCCAATGCTACAGTATCTCAATCTCAATTTAAAATATTGCACAAAATACTGGGCAAAAAGAGCCTTCACATGTACAAGGTTGCATTTGGAAACTGTTACCATCAGATGAGATAAATCCCAACCTAACATTTCTTACCCTCCTTCTCTGAAATCTTTCCATCTGGGCATGGAATGCAGTCATAGCAACAAAATGATTCCCCTTCCTTTATTTTCTTGCTGGAACCAGGACGGCAACTTCCAGTGCATACTGAAACAGGCTGGGACTGAAGTACAAACAGACAAAGAACAATTCTATGTTATCAAATTAATCTGAGTTAGGGTATAATTAATAATAAGTTGTTAAATTAGTATGCTGCCCAACTCAACAGCTCATCAGCATCAAATAAAGAAATTACAATGAAGTTAGTATGCATTTAATTTACAAAGTTGTTTAAATGCTATAATCTACTTATGTAGACTATGCACAGTATTGTCTATTGAAAGGTGCATCAGATTTTCAGCCTTTCCAAATATGCATAACTGTTACTATGGCAATCTATTCCACTTTGCAGCTATTATTAAAGAGGAACTGCAGCAGCCATTCATGAAGTTGCTTCACTGATAATTTCTGGTTATATAAAAATGATGTTTAACCCAGCCTTATGGTTGATTCATCAATCATATGCCGGTCCCAAGCCTGGATAAATTGGGAGCATTAGGGAAATAATGGTGTACTATCTGTAAAATATCTCACCAGAACATTTTATGACAATATCTCACCAGAACACTCATGACTTAGATATGGATACCAACAATGGACCCTCCAGGCTAGATGGTAGTCTGCAATCTACTCGAGAAGAGCAAGGTCTAGTTTTTAGTAATCAGAGATTTTATGATGTTGGAGGAAAGCCTTGTGAGAAGATATGTGTCACACCAAAAGCCAAAGAGAATGAACAAGTGGCTATCTGATGATACCAACAATATAGCTGCTCAGCAAAGGGCTGCCAAATCCAAAGCTGATTATCAAAGGGCTGCCAAAGGTAATAAGGAAGAAGTTAAAGAACTGAATGCAATTTTCCAACCTGAAGTCAGGAAAGGAAAGTTGCCAGGAGTAAGACATGGCTGAATGGTTAAAACAACAACAAAAATAATCTTTAATCCATTATATGAAATGTATAAAAGTTCAGCAGTATACGTACTCTACTATAATGAGAAAACTGTAAGCACTATAGGTAGTCCTTGACCTACAAGCACTTGTTTTAATGAGTGTTTGAAGTTATGACAATGCTGACAAAAGTGACTTATACCCAGTCTTTGCACTTCCAGTGTCACAGCAAAAACTTAGTGATCAAAACTTAGGCACTTAGAAACCGGTACGTATTTATGATGATTGCAGTGTCCCACAATCACATGACCTCCAATACTGATCACCCAGCCAGATTCCAACAGGCAAAGTCAAATGTGGGAAGCTGTATTTGCTTAATGACTGTGTGTTTCATGTAATCACCATGGCAAAAAAGGTCATCAAATCAGGTGCAACTCACTTAACAACTGCCTCCCTTAGCAGGGGAAGTTCCAAACCCAGTTTGGTCCTATACTGAATTCTACCTGTAATCAATTAACCTCTAACTAGGTCACATGATCAGTCCTTTGTCAGGATGTCACACAATGCCGTTTTTATTTTCTTGCTGGAACCAGGATAACAATTTTTCTCTACTTACTGAAACAGTCTGGAACCAAATGCAGAAGCAAAAAAAGAACAATTTGAGACTAAAGAGTAACAAACTTGAAGATTCTGGGAAGCGCTTTGAACATGAAAAAAAAAATATGCATTCAATTAGCAAATTATTAATTGCTGACTTCTGGTTATATTGATACTTGTTGATTATTCACATAAATAGGCATTAAATTTCCTGCACTATCATATGCATAAAATTCTTACAACAGGATGTGTTAAGTTCTACTTTTCCGCTATTTTTTAAAGGTAAACTAGAATATGGTATTCATGAAGCTGCCACACTGGCCATATTCAGTTGTGTTAAAAATGATTTCCTAATCTATACATTGATTACATACAATGTACAAAGTTTCACTGATTTCACAATAAACTCTCTGAGTTTATTGGTATCATGAGATGAGTAGAAAAAAATCAGAATTTCTTTTTGGTACTCTTATGATCACTCTAAAAATCATTGTTCCATTAGTTCTGTTAAGCTTAACCTATTCTCCAAAATACCTGAGGGCAAGACAAGAAATAATGGATGGAAGATTATCAAAAAGAGATCCAACCTAGAATTAAGGAAAAATTTATGGAAGTGGAATGGCTTACCTCCAGAAGATGTGGGGGCTTGTCACTGGAGATTTTTAAGAAGAGTTTGGACAGGCATTTGTCTGGAATGGGATAGGGTCTTATAGTCAAGCAGGGGGTTGAACTAGAAGACCTCCAAGGTCCCTTCCAATTCTATTATTCTGTATTCTCAGAGAGTTATTTGGCAATTACTGGGCTTCACAGGCTTTGATTTTAATGCTTTCACAGCTTTTCATGTCAACTTTGCCAACGTCTCATTTTTTGCTAGTTTGCTTTTTCACTACAGGAAATTCAAGCAAGATGTTCTAAAGGGTGGGAGCTGTGGTAAAAAAGGCTCTTCTTCTGATGAAATTGCTTGGCTAATTGGGTCTGCAGTAGGCCCTTTCTGCCAACATGAGTTGGGCAGGCTAATCCCATTGGGAAAAGGCAGTTCCACATATATCATATCAAATATCTTCTTTCATCATATTAAATAATGAATTCATAAGAAACCCAACTAAAGCAATAACTTTGTAGACATTATTGGTTGCACTGTAGTATATGTTCTTATGTGATCAGGTCTGAGTTATTCATCTAGCCAAAAAAGTAGTGAGCTAAAAAGTAGATTTGGTATAAATTCCCAGAAGTAGTATCCCACCTGGTTAAACCAATTATGCCAAGTGATGACATCTTCATTTATGGTGAATATTTGATCTGAAAAAACTGCAGGGTTTACTCTCCCAACTTTAACTCTATTGAAAGACTGGTTGGAAGAAACAATCCAGTTCAGTATATCATATCCAGCTAGTAACTCTCCATTGTAGTCAATAGAAACCAGATCCCCAGCACTGTTATTAAAGGAGAGACCTTTTAAAAATGAGTGCAGCTAGATGGAAAAGAAAAGATCAAAGATTAGAAAGTGCTGTTTAATTCTGGAAGAGAAAAGTCTAAGAATCATGGCTGATCAAAAGAGAGAACCTGGTGTACATTCCAGAAATGAGAAAGATCAGAATTAATTCCTATAATTGATGTTATGGGGCTCATTTTTCTTTATACAAATAATGTTCTTCTTCAATATGATGCTCAGTTTGTTACCTGCCAGGAATCTTGCTTTTGAAGCTTCAATCTCCCTTTATTTGCCATTGGTTGCTGGGCAGATCTGGATGAAATCATGGCATGCAATGCATGGGCTATTGCATAGACAGAATTATAAACACTGTAGCTGTGACCAGTCATTCTGCTTTCAAAAAAGGTTACAGGAAGATCTTCCAGTTTCTCTCCTCCTGTGCAAATATCACCAGCTATCTCACCTATATTTGAAGTTTTAAATACACAGGCAAAGGATTGTTGCCAGTAATCCTTGATAAATCCATCTTCTGTCATGGAAGGATTTCTACTTTTAATAAATGTCTGGAATCCTGGTGGGTCATTGGCATGAATTGTGAAAGACAGAGCACCATTCATCATGTCAGTATTCCAATCTCTCTGATACACAAGTGAGTTTAGTTCCACCTGGGCTGTTAATATCCACACTTTACCTTTGGCAACATTTCTTATGTTTTCTTTGTTTGATAAATATGGTAGCCATCTTAGCCTTACCATAATATCAGCTTCTCCATAAAATATCAGAACATTAACATTGCTATCCATAATTTTATCATGTATTTCTGCACCGTGCTTGAACATGTTGTACATTTCATTAATATGTGTTAATTCTGAGAATCTCTCTATAAATGAAAAACAGATGTTGTGCTGGGAAAATAATGGAACAATAATGTCTATAACCCTTTCTCCATTATCATTATCCATGACAATAACCCCAATCCATGTCCACCTGAAATGGAGAAGCAAAGACAGAATCCCTTCATGTTGAAGTCTTTGCAGTGGGCTCATTTGGAAGAAAGAAAGTCCTGGTGTTTTATAATTCATGATGGGACCAGAGCCATAGATGAGCTGCATAAGGATTGAGAGCAAAGGTTGGAGAGAGTCGCATTTAATTTTTTATTTTCCAGTTTTTAAAACTGCTCATACATTTGTATAGCAAAACAAGAATACGAATGAGCAAAACACAGCATTGCTAAAGATAGAATGAAATGACAAAAAAGAGAAACAAAGCAAGGTTCAGTGTTAGAGAAATAGGAGGAGTCCAAACAAGTATTCTCTTTAATAGGAAAGAAGAGAAGAAAAAGGATGAAATATGGTATCATTCAAAAAATTCTGACTGCCTTTTCAAAAAATTTACACTCATGCTAATCTCTACATTCATACACACACAGACAGACACACACAAAACATGTTTTCAGCAATTTAAATGCAATGTTGCGCTATCAATTGAATCAAAGAATGAATGGTTGGATGAATGATTGATAATTAGGCCTTTTAGAGTTATGCTTTAAGAGAAATACTTCAAGAAATGTTAGCTAGATGATATTCTGACTACTCTATTTTTTGTATGCCAGAAATATGTGGGAGTTTTGTATACAACAGAACAGCCCCCTTTCCTTTTTGATATTATGAATTTGGTTTACAGATTCACCTCCATGAACACCTCAAAATAGGGAAAATCCTGAATTGAATTGACTCTTAAAGTGGCCCTTATTCCTGCAAAAATCTTTCTAAAGCTCTTGCACTTTGAACTATTTTGGACAGCCTTTTCTCCAACATGATTTCATATTTCCATTTTTCTTAACCCTTTCTTCTTTTTATTGTTGCATTACTTGTGTTTTTATTATTTATGTTGTGCAGGGTTTATATTGTATATTTTCTACATAAGCCTCCAAAAATAATTTTATTGTAGTGGCATAGAAATACATTTAATCCATAGATAAAATAATTATTCATATTTTTATAGAACTGTAATTGATGTACTCTGTACTTTCTTCCTTATTCATTTTTTCTGCAATCTCTTCATTATCTAGTTTGTGTACTCATCTCTAGAATAATGACATGTACATCACCAAAGTTTATTTAATAATATCTTTGTGAGACTAAATTATGCTGCTATTTGGTCTATAGAGTTCTCACATAGCTGTAGAAATATTTCCAGGTCATTTAATCTGAGTGCAAATTTTTCATTCATACCGTAGTAGTTTCTTTCCTTGGGTTTAAAATCTCTAACTTATCATCATCCTTCTTTTAAAAAAAAATGGGGTAAGAGGATTTAACAGAGAAGAAGGTACAATAATATTTAGAAAAATCCCAATTTTTGCCTCTTTGAAATTTAAAAGTTCTAAAAAGTCAGGTATGCTTTCAATTTGATGCACTTTACCTGTGGGATCTTATAAATATCCAAAAGATTTGCAATGTCAATGGAGGTTTTGGCATCTAGTCCCCCAATTATTGAAGTCAGATGATTCTGGATACCACAGATGTAATCGGGGGAAAAGCTCTTCATATTGTAAATTAGTAACATAATAGCATGGTATGTTTTCTGTGCATTGAAGTAACTGTCATAGATGTTGAAACCAAGAGTGACATTGGATAAGATCTCTGAGTTTTTATTGATCTCTTTGACTGTAAATGCCAGGGCCACAATATTTTGGTAATATTTAGGTATTAACCTGAAATAGAAGATACATTCAATGTCATATAAATATTTAAAAGTTTTTTTAACCCAAGAAGTAATTATTTCATCTCATGTTATAAGCCTCAGAATATTTATTTTTATTAGTATGTATATGAAACTAATGCAGCCAAGGTTTCATAAAGCAATTATTTCATACAATGAAATTACATGTCTACATGCAAAACATCAATTATACTGCAAATAACTACATCATCCATGCATTTGTATTTTATTTTTGGAAATCATTTTTGATTCTTTGATATGGAATAATATATTCCTTTCAGCTTATATTATTTCATATCAAAGAACCAAAACTGATTTCCAAAAATAAAATACAAATGCATGGATGATGCAGTTATTTGCAGTAAAATTGATGTTTTGCATAAATATGTAGACATGATGCAAGAAAGCAAAATGGCTGTCTGAGGAAGCTTTGCAAATAGCTGAGGAAAGAAGGGAAGCAAAAGGCAAGAGAGAAAGACACACCCAATTGAATGCAGAATTCCAGAGAATAGCTAGAAGAGATAAGAATACCTTCTTAAATGAACAGTGGAAAGAAATAGAAGAAAACAATAGAATAGGGAGGACCAGAGGTCTCTTCAAGAAAATTGGAGACATGAAGGGAATGTTTCATGCAAAGACGGGCATGATAAAGGACCAAAATGGCAGGGACCTAACAGAGGCAGAAGAGATTAAGAGGTGGCAAAATTACACAGAAGAACTATACAAGAACGAGCTTAGCGTCCCTGATAAACATGATGGGGTGGTCACTGACCTCGAGCCAGACATCCTAGAATATGAAGTGAAATGGGCCTTAGGAAATCTGAGCAACAACAAAGCTAGTGGAAGTGACAGTATTCCAGCTGAGCTATTCAAAATCTTAAAAGACAATGCAGTAAAAGTGCTACACTCAATTTGCCAGCAAATTTGGAAAACTCAACAGTGGCCACAGGATTGGAAAAGGTCAGTTTACATTCCAATTCCAAAGAAAGGCAATGCCAAAGAATGTTCAAACTATCGCACCATTGCACTCATTTCACATGCTAGTAAAGTCATGCTTAAAATCCTACAAGCTAGACTCCAGCAGTATGTGGATCGAGAACTACCAGAAGTACAGGCAGGATTTTGAAGAGGCAGAGGAACTAGAGATCAAATTGCCAAAATACGCTGGATCATGGAGAAAGCTAGGGAGTTCCAGAAAAACATCTACTTCTGCTTCATTGACTATGCTAAAGCCTTTGATTGTATGGATCACAACAAATTGTGGCAAGTTCTTAAAGAGATGGGAGTACCAGATCATCTTATTGTCTCTTGAGAAACCTATATGCGGGTCAAGAAGCAACAGTGAGAACTGGACACGGAATCACTGATTGGTTCAAAATTGAGAAAGGAGTCCCGCAAGGCTGTATTCTGTTGCCCTGCCTATTTAACTTATATGCAGAGCACATCTAGCAGGGCTAGATGAATCAAAAGTTGGAATTAAGATTGCTGGGAGAAATATCAAGAACCTAAGATATACAGATGATACCACTCTAATGGCAGAAAGTAAAGAGGAACTAAAGAGCCTCTTGGTGTGGATGAAGAAGGATAGTGCAAAAGTTGGCTTGAAACTCAACATTAAGAAAACCAAGATCATGGCATCCAGCCCTCTCAATTCCTGGCAAATAGATGGGGAAGAAATGGAGGTAGTGACAGATTTTATTTTCCTGGGCTCCAAGATCACCACAGATGGGGACTGCAGCCAAGAAATTAAAATACTCTTGCTCCTGGGGAGGAAAGCTATAGCAAATCTAGACAGCATACTAAAAAGCAGAGACATCACCCTGCTAACAAAAGTATGTATAGTCAAGGCCATGGTTTTTCCAATTGCAATGTATGGCTGTGAAAATTGGACCATAAGAAAGGCTGTGTGCCAAAGAATTGAGGCCTTTGAACTATGGTGCTGGAGAAGACTCCTGTGAGTACCATGGACTGCAAGGTGATCAAACCAGTCAGTCCTAGAGGAGATCAACCCTGACTGCTCTTTAGAAAGCCAGATCCTGAAGTTGAAACTCAAATACTTTGGCCACCTAATGAGAAGGAAGGACTCACTGGAGAAGAGCCTAATGCTGGGAAAGATTGAGGGCAATAGAAGAAGGGGACGACAGAGAATGATGTGGCTGGATGGAGTCACTGAAGCAGTAGGAGTGACTTAAATGGACTCCAGAAGATGGTAGAGGACAGGAAGGCCTGGAGGAACATTGTCCATGGGGTTGCGATGGGTCAGATACGACTTCACAACTAACAACAACAACAAATATATTCCTATGATGTGACTTTCTTCTTCACCTGCATTCCAACAACTGAAGATGTAATGAAGAAAAGACTGTTACCTCAGGTAACAGAACCAACCTCAGGCCAGACCACATATGTGCCATGATGTACCTCTACCTGACACTACCTATTTAAAATACAATGAATATTTCTACAGATAGAAACACGGCTGTGCCATGGTTTTACCTATGTCCCCCATTGTGATGAATCTCTAGATGGAAGAGGTAGAAACCAAAGCCCTAAACTCCTTCACAGGAATTCCACCCACTCATTGATATAGGTATGTGGATAATACTTGGGTGAACATCAAAACACAGGAATTGGAAGTGTTCACCAAACATATCAAATCTGTGGACAGATACATCAAATTCACATGGGAAGATGTTAAGGAAAATAGTCTAGCCTTCCTGGACTGTGCAATATACATTAAGGAAGACAGAAGCCTTAACACTGAAGTTTAGAGAAAAACCCCACACACAAATCAATATTTTGATTTTCACCACCCACTGGAGCACAAAAGGGAGTTATCAGAACCCTACACTGCTGAGCTGAAAGCCTGCCTACCAGCAAAGATAGGAAAGAAAAACAATTAAAACACATCAGGGAAGCCCTCAGAATGTGTGGCTATCCCAAGTGGGCCTTCATCAAATTCCAAAAAAGACCCAGCAGGAGCTCCTCCATAACAGACAAAGGAGAGAACAATAAACAAAGCAATGTTGTAATTCCATACATTGCAGGAATATCTGAAAAGCTCAGGAGGTTCTTCAGCTAATACAACATACATGCACACTTTAAACCCAAGAATATACTAAAGCAGAAGCTTGTCCACCCCAAGGAAAAAACACCCAGACATAAACGGAGCAATGTGGTATATGGAGTACAGTGCAGTGAGACATGTGCAAATCTGTACATTGGCAAAACAAAACAACCACTTCATGAATGCATGGCATAACATAGGAGAACAAACCCATCAGGACAAGATTCAGCAGTCCATCTGCATTTAAAAGACAAAGGCCACTCTTTTGAAGACAGCAAAGTCCACATTTTGGAAAGAGAGGATCACTGGTTTGAAAGAGGGGTCAAAGAGGCCATCTATGTCAAAACTGAACAATCTTCTCTCAACAGATGGGGAGGTACATCATCTATCTCCAGCCTACAACACAGTCCTTTCAGCAGTTCCAAGAAGGCTCCATACCCATTTGCACTGTAACCCTGATGACACAGATAAACCTCCAAGTGGCCTCAATGACACTCTAAAACAATGCAAATTACCAGCTGTCTTTCCATCCCCCATCATCCAGTCAGAGCTGAAGAAGCTTCTTGGATGAGAAGCAAAAAGTCTTCAAAGAAAAACAAGGAAGTCCAGTTGCCTCTTGAAAAAGGACCTTTGGGACAACCGTGATCTGGATGACTGAGAAGCTCCATAGACAAATATATTCATCATGCATCTTAATAACAGCTGTTTACAGTACATCTTTAAAAGTATGAACAAATGCCACATTTTATTACAATTATCTCAATGGTGTATAAATCAAGAGGAAGATAACCATGAGGAAAAATGTGTAAAAATCTCAGAGAAGATGCAGACTATTAATATTTACCAAACCTATATATATAGAAAACAGTAAATATTTCAATGACATTTTCTCATTAATATTCTGACCCAGATTTATCATTAAACATTGATTAACTGGCTAGGAAAAGTAGTAAAAATTATACAAATCTCCAATGCTTTGATACAATTTTAAGCAGAGAGACTAATTGAATTATGATCTTTAGGAGTTTATACAGTTAAAATACATGAAATTAAGCACAAAATCCTTACATAAGTTCTTCAAGCAATGGAGGTGGCGGGACTTTGCTGAACTCGATGGCAGCATGCAGGAAAGCAGCTAGAGTGACAATCCCACCCACGATGACATCACCTGACTGATAGTACATATGATATGGATCATGAGGACTTTGAACTCTACATTTGATGTCATGAGACTTAGAAAGTGGGAGATTAAATAATACTAGTGAGATGATTATTAAAGCTAACATTATTGGAGAAAAGCCATATCTTTCCTTGACACCTAAATTCTTCTTGCTTCTTTGATGACAGTGCTATTAGTATTCGGGTAAAAGGTGGTAATAAAGCAAACCTTAGAAAAGAGAAAGAAGCTTCTGCAGACTGTGCTGTATAATTGTAGTGTTTTTATTCTGCCTAACATGAAAAAAGTTGAGATATTTATAATATTCTTCATGCTTTATTCTTGGACACTAAAATTCTGTCTTTGGTTGAAATAAACAAATTAATAACCATCCTTTCAAAATTAAATAGGTTTGCTATTACTTGGATCCCAGGAGAATTGCACAAAATATGTTTTGACTCATAGAAAAAATGTTTTTATCTCATTTGAAAAGAAAAAACCCCACAATGAACAAGATTTTTTTTTTAAAAAAAAAACAGCAACATCCTAGACAATCCTCCATCAAGCTTGTGCTCTGTAGAGAGGTCAGTTGCAACATCATCCTAGTACATGTTGTACTAGGATGATGTTGCTGTAACATTGCTGTCCTGCATGATCATGAATGTGACTCTAATATTTGGACCATAGCATAGCTGATAGATGATATGAATAAACTGTAGAATGGAAGCTGATAGTCCTAATTGCAGCCCACTTCCATCTCCTTTCATAGACCTAATGATCTGCTGATTGCAGACAGACTCCCAAAACCTTGTTCCCCCAAATTCATGCAAGTGCTCTGGTCATTCTTGAATGGGACGTTGTTCTGTTTTCAATACTGCCCAACTTTCTCATTGCACATGGCATGGTTTATTATTTATTAATTTGAAATATTTATCTCACCAGCTCAAGGTTGTCTCAGCCTTCCATCCTTTTGAGGTTGGCAAAATGAGGACCCAGATTGTTGGGAGCAATATGCTGACTCTGTAAATCTGCTTAGAAAGGGCAATATATAAGTCTAAGCGCTATTGCTATCTATCACATGAGTTGGCTGTTTTAGGATTGTAGATTGCTGGCAATCCCATGTAAATTTTTTACTGTTAATTAGAAGACAAAAACAGGTCAACATATCAAGATAGTTAACTGCTTTGCTGAGAGCTGAGAAATACACTTCTACACACACACACACACACACACACACACACACACACACACACACACACATAATAGAAATAGAACAAATTAGGTTCAAAATAGACACAAAAGAGCTGTTCCAGTCAAAGAAAGAAGTAACTTAGTATTTGCTTAAATTATTTCAAATATATTAATATAGCTCAACTTTCATTGACAGAAACCTCCTTTGAGACTTTCACAGCAGAAATTACATTTAGGAAAATTAGGATTTCAGTCTTATCATTGAAAATTTAACCATCACATCCCTTTGAGAAAGGAATTGCATCATCCTCCTTTACTCACCTTGTCAGATAATATATTAATCCACTAAATTCTGGCAAATTCTGGAATCCTGGTTTTTAGGATTCAGTTTCTTTAATATTTCCAAGTGAATATCATAAATACAGGTATGTATATGTAATTCTACAGATATATGTAACCCTTTCAGCCATAAAAATCTGACATCATCAACTTATATGGGGCTGAATGCCATATGATTGCTAATATATGTTAAGGATGATCATTGTTAGTCAAGACAGCATATATCCCTTTGACTATATTGCCAGGAATAAGAACTAAACAAAACCTTAAGAACTTGGGGATACTGATAAGAATGAATAGCCTTCAATAGAATAATAAATTTACACTTGATAAAGAAAACAGATAGATTGCCAATATGTGTTACTTATAAAAAAAATAATTTATTCTTTCCCCCCAAGACAGAGCCAGAAAAAGAAGAGTTTTCAGCAACTTGGTCAACATTTTTGAAAATATTGTTTGTTTTTATAATTTATACCATTTTTGAGAATTTCCATACCCACTTTTTTCTTAATAGTATTGTATGAATATGAAAATTACTATCTTTAATTTAATAAAAGAAATATTTTAAACATTATACCCAGTGGTAGGATTCAAATATGTGAACAACCGGTTCTCTGTGTGGAAGTCTGTTCTGGGCCTGGGCAACAAAAAATTAGTTACCGGTTCTGCCGAACTGGTGCAAACCAGCTGAATCCCACCATTGATTATACCCCCACTGCATGCAAATGGCTATGTCTATGCAAGTCCTTTGGGTGTAGTGCTTTGGACAATGAAGCATAAGTGGGAGAAACTTTTTTTCTAATTATTAAGTCTATCATTTAGAAAGAACATTTATTATTGAAATAATCAGTAACAAAAAAATTATTCTTTACATCATCTTTCCCCAACCTTTTGACCTACACATGAAAGACACCTAAAATATACAGCCCAACATATTTTACCAGAATAAAGAAACAATTCTACTTTGATCATCTTCACATTGTGTATATGAGAATGTCTCATTTCTCTCCCAGGTCTGGTTTCCATTACAAAGATACGATTTTGATTTGTTGTATATTAGCCAATTCTCTTATTTGCACAGTAGCAGACAGCCTAATACCATATTAATTCCCCCAAATATCTGCATTGACTCCCCAGATAGATGATCAAATGTAAGTTATCTTCAGTTTTCTTAAGATGTGCCTGAAAGTCTAATAGATAGATAGATAGATAGATAGATAGATAGATAGATAGATAGATAGATAGATAGATAGATAGATAGATAGATAGATAGATAGATAGATAGATAGATAGATAGATAGATAGTGAACCTCTATCAGTTTTTTAAAGAGGAAATTTGAGTCAGGCGTTTCAATCAATGCCATGAGAATCAGAAATGAGTGTGAGCGGTCTTGCCTTATTGGCAGAACAAAATTTTGAGTATTCATTATCAAAGTCTGATCTTCACAACAAAGGATGTGGAAATCTATATTGACTTGAACAAATAAGATCTCCAGAAACAATTGTTGATGCTCACCAAGCTGGAAAAGTTCAGTCAGCAGATCATGTACAAATTAAAGTATTCAGTATGATTGTTACCATTCCCAGGAATGGATCACACCATGATTAAAGACTTCTCCCTCATTGGTGAAAGTCAGTGTTTATACGACCACCATCAATGGTGTGCATGAAATGGTTGCAAGGAAAAAGCTATTACTCTCCAAAAAGAACATTGCAATCTGCATATAGTGTAGTTTACAAAATCCCAAATGGGTAAGATAAAAGACTATTGGAAAATTGTTTTGTGGGTGGATTAGAACAAAATAGAACTTTTAGGTTTGAATTAGAAGTGCTAGTTTGGTGAAAGGGAAACACTGTATTTCAGCATAAAAATTTTATCCCGTTTGTGAAAGATAATGGTGGCAGTAATGAAGTTTGTGTCTGCTTTCTGGATCAGATCAGGACACCTTACCAATATTGATGGAATTACAAATTCTTAATTTTATTGTACCAGTAAGAGAGAGAAGGGGAGGGGGGAGAGGCTTCTCCCCCTGACCAGGCACGAAAAAGGTAAGAATTTACTTCTTTTCTTTTTCTTATTTGTTCCCCAACTCAGGTGTGTGTGTGTGTGTGTGTGTGTGTGTGTGTGTGTGTGAGGGAGGGAGGGAGATGGCAAAGGCTTTCAGGCCTGAAAAAAAGGTGAGAATTTATCTGTTTTGTTTTCTGTTTCTTATTTGCCCCTCAACTCAGGAATATATGAAGCAGGGAGGGAGAGGGCAAAGGTTTCTCCCTGATCAGGCCTGGAAAAAATTGCCTATTTTGTTTTCTTTTTATTTGCTCCCCTACTCAAGAATGTGTGTGTTGGAGATGGTGGGGTCACATGAGAGCTGAAATCAGCCCAAAAGTGTTTTATTATTTAACAACATTGTGACACCACAAAACAAGAGTTGTTTAGCAAGATTTACCTTCACTGAGAACAGGTGACAACTGCTTTTTGAAAAAGCTTCTCTTCAAACTGCAGGTTTATCAAATACCCAGTCAGTATTTTGTAAGGATCTCTATATGATGATGGTTACTTCAAGTATTCCCTTAAGTAAATTAGGTAGTGGTAGCCTCAGGCATGCATTGGGAAAGTACACCAGTCACCTGTTTCCTAATGAATCAATTGTAAGGAAAAATTACATCTCTGACTGCTATGAAGATGTGTTAGGAAAGATAAGATCTGCTATTGGCAACAATAAGATATAGGTTTCAGTTGACGAAATAAGTGAAGACCCGCTCCAGTCGGGCTTCAGGCCGGGATACAGCACGGAAACGGCATTGGTCACATTGGTGAACGATCTCTGGAGGGCCCGGGACAGGGGTTATTCCTCTGTCCTAGTTCTTTTGGACCTCTCAGCGGCTTTTGATACTGTGGACCATGGTATCATGCTGCGGCGTCTGGTGGAGTTGGGAGTGGGAGGCACCGTTATGCGGTGGTTCTCC